AATGACTTGTTTTGAAACTTTTTATATTAAAGGTATTTTAGGTAGTTATAAGGTTGAATAGTAAAAAAAAGTATTTTGAAAAGGGTACGATTGAATTTGGGGTATTTTCAATCATTTCCCTCGAAATTTTCTTTCATAAACGACTGAGTCAAAATAACGAGTTTAAAGCGCGACGAAGAAACTCTGAAGAGCAAAAGCTAGGTTCCGGCGGTTCTGACACCGAAATTAGCTGCCGGGAAAAGATGGATGCCATTGAATCTCCTCTATCCAACTCTCCTTCGCCTTCAAATTCTTTCAGGCATTTTCTTCTCTTTCTTCCTCTTGTTATTAATCGATTCGTATCATTCAATTTTTTTCTCTATTAATGAAATATACAAACGTTTAAAACGGCATAATTTTTCAACGTATAATTGAAGCCCGCAGTGCCACTTCTACCTCGCCGTCGACAGACTCCAGTTCAAGATGGTATTTTGATTTCTTCGAAGAATTATTTGTAATTTCAGTTTTGTAAATGTTATATATTATAGTTTAACTATTAACATGTTCGAAATTGGGAAAAAATAAATAAACAGGAAACCCTAGTGGATCTTTTGGGCATGGCGGGTCGCCGCCCGTGCCTCCCAATGGTAGTGTGCTGCAGCACGCGAGATGAGCTCGACGCTGTGTGTTCCGCCGTGTCCAATCTTTCGTCCTACGTTTATGTTTCCTCCTTGGTAAGTAGTCTGTGTTTCCAGGACAAAATTATTATGGCATTATAGGAAAAAAGCAATAATTTCTTATAAAAGTTATTTGACGTTAATTCAGACTCCAATCACTTGTTAATCTTTTCTAGTATCTGGGTTAAAGCCTGCAGTTAAGTTCATTTTTTGTTGAATTACACAATTTAGTTATTTCTTAGTTGAAGCCCACACAATGAAGTGAAATTTCTAAGCAAAGTTTCTGAGTATTTTGTCAAAAAGTTAAGTAAGTTTCTGTAAAGTTTCCTTAACATTTTTATTAAACAATAAAAGAGATGAGGACATTTTTTTCTGTTTTGGATACAATTCAGGGGGTTATTAAGAGTTTCAGTCTCAGAATGTGTTCCAAAATGGAAAATGCTAGCATTTTAGAAGTTTTCGCCCAACCTATCCCTCAGTTTGTCCTGTGATATTATTACTGAATTGCAGCTTTTATGTTCGCAGCCTGAAGACCTCCACTTCGTAGCCTCCACTTCGCACGCAGCCTCCATTGGACCACTGGGATTTATGATGACAAGTAAGATTAACCACATGAATTTCTTAATAATCTCTCATGAAGCCCAGATGCTTAACTCTCCTTCACCTTCAAATTCTTTCAGGCATTTTCTTCTCTTTCTTCCTCTTATTAAAATGTTTAAAACGGCATAATTTTTCAATGTATAATTGAAGCCAGTAGCGCCACTTCTACCTCACCGTCGACAGACTCCAGTTCAAGATGGTATTTTGATTTCTTCGAAGAATTATTTGTAATTTCAATTTTGTAAATGTTATATATTATAATTTAACTATTAACATTTTCGAAATTGGGAAAAAATAAATAAACAGGAAACCCTAGTGGATCTTTTGGGCATGGCGGGTCGCCGCCCGTGCCTTCCAATGGTAGTGTGCTGCAGCACGCGCGATGAGCTCGACGTTGTGTGTTCCGCTGTGTCTAATCTTTCGTCCTACGTTTATGTTTCCTCCTTGGCATGTAGTCTGTGTTTCCTGGACAAAATTATTATGGCATTACAGGAAAAAGGCAATAATTTCTTATAAAAGTTATTTGACGTTAATTCAGACTCCAATCACTTGTTAATCTTTTCTTGTATCTGGGTTAAAACATGCAGTTAAGTTCATTTTTTGTTGAATTACACAATTAGTTTATTCTTAGTTAAAGCCCACACAATGAAGTGAAATTTGTAAGCAAAGTTTTCGAGTATTTTGTCAAAAAGTTCAGTAAGTGTCTGTAAAGTTTCCTTAACATTTTTATTAAACAATAAAAGAGAGGAGGAAATGTTTTCTGTTTTGGATACAATTCAGGGGGTTATTGAAGAGTTTGTCTCAGAATGCGTCCAAAATGGAAAATGCTAGCATTTTAGAAGTTTTCGCCCAACCTAGCCCTCAGTTTGTCCTGTATTTTATTACTGAATTGCAGCTTTTATGTTGCAGTACAGTGACCTATCGGAAGCAGAACGAGTGCGGATTTTGGATAATTTTCGGCAGGCAACTGGGAGATGGAACCGAATGGGAAGAGATGAGGTTAATGGGGAAACAGAAAAGAAAGAAGAGTAGAAATCACATTTGGTGGTTGTCACAGATGCGTGCCTTCCCCTTGTTGGCTCAGGGGAGTCCCCTATTAGTGCTCGCATTTTGGTCAACTATGAACTGCCCACTAAGAAGGTACATTTTCACCTTACAATGGCTCTGATGAGCCTATGTTGATGAACTAACTAAAGGAAGTAATTCAATTTGTTTGGGCCTTGTTCCTTCCACGATTTTCACCCTTGGCCTTTGTGGTAAGCTTTGGGATGAGTTGGTTCATGTCTAGTTGCCTCCTATTTATGAAAATTGTGCACCTGTCTCTCATGCTTTTGAGTCCATGAATCTGATGTGCATGTAAGAGGGCTAGTATTGTCCACTCTCCAACAGATTAAGTTTTTAGATGAGAGTTGAACTAGTTTTTCCTTCTGCAAATGGTGTTACATCTCTACAGTTGGATTGCCCAGTTAAACAGCTTCGAAATGAAAATAGTTTCCTTGTAGGCTCATCTAATCCATTTTTAGACTCAATTTCTGGTTCGGATTTCCTGTTTTAGTTGTTAGACCTGAATTTGGTCTAGGTTTTGAATTGTTGCTTTTAATGTTGTTCAAGTTGGTATTCAATGGTTTCTCAGAATCTAAAGATTTGAAATCTTGGTCTCTAAAGGAAGTTACCCCTTTTGGTATGCCCCCTCAGTTGTCTGCTGGCAAGTAATGTTATCAAAAACAAAGAAGCAAAAGCTAAACAAGGTTGGCACATTCTGACTTGTTTTAATTCTTTGCTTCACAAAATCCTTAAAGTTTGGACTATATCTCATCCATTTTCATTGTACTTGCCACCATGAAATTATTCTTACATTGTGATTTAGCCCACAAGGAGGTGGCAAATATTGGAATCGAAACAATGTCTCCTTGAATTTGGTTATTTCAGGAAACAGGAGGAATTGCCGTATAATTATTGTTTTCCTAGCAAAATGATTGCATTTGCTTGAAGATGGTGAATTCTGTGAGTGTACCATTTGAATGAGTCTCAAGACCTGCATTGCATATAAGTGGGGTTCATAATAGTATCTTGGTTGAAGGTGAAAAAAGGAAGTACATTATTAGTCTTTGCAGTAAAAGCTCATATTATAGTTCATTTTCTTTCAACATCTAATAATTGATATCGACGAGGATACTATCTGGAAACTGCTTAGGATATTTTGTTTGGAAATAATGTTATCAATAGTGTTCACATCAATGTGAATTTCTTCGAAGATTTTATTTATTATCTTGCAGCTCCAATTTGAAAGTGTAGTTGTGTGATTAGTTATAAGTATTCTTTGACTACATTGGTGTGATCCGACAAAATAATTTGTTCTCACTCAGGAGATGTATACGAGGCGGATGACAGCTTGTTTGGCAGCAGGTTTGTCATCAATACAATAAACATGATTGTGGAAGAGTGTAGCAAATGGAAAAGAATAGAGGGCAACAGTGTTCCCCAAGTTTCTTTCTCCTTGTGAAATCCCCAGCGAGGGAAATTTACTTTTTCCTTTACGTCTTTCAACTTCCTCGTGTTACAAATATTACTGATGCTTGAGTTTTCTGCATATTTGCAGATGGGATAGTGATCAACATGGTTGTTGGAGGAGAAGTAGTGATTCTTAAAAACCTTGAAGAAAGCAGTGGCCTGGTCATAGCTGAAATGCCTATACATGTAAGTTTGTATCTACATATTTTCTTCTCGTCTGAAGCACACACAATTTAAATCAACGGGCGAGCCTTGAACCAAGATTAACAATTTTCAAATTTGTGAAATAAATCCTTCCTCCTTTCTGAAGTTAATATTACGTTTGGATACAATTATAATCTCATTATAGTTTGAAGTCAAAGTCAAACATTAATTTTAACCACATCTGCACATCTTCTACCCACTTATTATCTACACATTTCGAAAGACTCGTTGCTCATTTTCATTATAATCTTATTATAAATTTATCCTTAATAGCACTGACGTGAGTGTTTGTGGTGAGCAGATCTTTGAGATGCTATGAGATGTCGTGCCCCTTGGAGTTTCCAAGTGAGTCAGTCTTCATACTCTATCTCTTCCCAATGCATCCTATATTATAGTATGCTCTATGTTGTAGTGAGACGAGTTGTATCATGCTATATTCAAATATGCAATTTCAGCTTTATATACGTACTTGGCTTGATTATGATCTTTTAAAATCCAACTTGAAGAACAATATAAAATCGATGGATGGTTTTTTGAGCATCACACGGTAATTTGGCATTTAGCAACGAATTGAGGACAAAAGAATACATCAACCAGTGGCCATTTTTTGTGGGCTTGTGATCAATATTTAATTTTATTGTGTTTTCTATATGACATTTTATGCAATCTTTGGATTTTCATGAGATAATCCTCACTTGTACTCTTTTGGTTATCATTAACAGGTTTGAACCTATACCATCTTGGACAGGAAAACATAATCACATTCAAGGGCAAACTAGTCAATTGTTATGTGCATCATGTCCTCGTTCCAAACATGTCATTATGATTTTATAACACTAAACCTCCCGTCTTGCTAGCAGACGGATCAGTCTTTCAAGATTCAATCTTTTTATTGTACAAGCCTACGCACATTTTAGCCAAGCTTAAAATTAAGAAGGAAAATTAGTACTATGCTCCTCGATCTGTCAAGTAATGCTGTTTTTGTGAACTTTCAAAAATGAAGGTACTGAATCCCAGCCTATTTATGCTATGAGTACATGAGCAGTGCTACAAGGACAGGGATTTTTTGACAGGATTTAAAACCAGATGCATGTGTCAAACACTGGTTGCACAGTTTAAAAAAAGAAAGAAAATACATCCAATCAATGGCTGACAAATCAGCTTGTCAATGAAACCCTGTTTTTTGTCCCTGTTTGAGCAGAATTATCCATGAGTACATAGCTCATAATATAATATTGTTCATAATGGACAAATGGAGGTTTCCTATTGAGAGGGTGCATGCGGACATAGCCCATAACATAATAGTGTCCATAATGAATATCATTATGGAAAATGCTAATTTGATGGATTTGCCCGCCAACTTGAAGTAACGTAAAAATCTTGTGTAATTTTAATAGTTTATATTGGATTTATATTTACAAATTTAAACAAGTTTTAAGACAAGAAACTTTACTTCTGGAATTTCATGTTTAGATTTCGGGGTGTGTTTGATGGATATTATTTTGAAGAATGTATTTTAAAATAGTAGATTAATGGAGAATGTGTGATTGAAAAAAAAGAAAAAGTTATTAATGTGATGAAAAATATTATTTTAATAAAGAATGTGTGATTAAAAATGAGTAGAAGAATAAAAATGAAAATTTTAATGGGTATCAAACAGGGTTTCGAACAATGTTGGGCTGTTAGGGAGGGTACCCTCCTTAGATCCTACCAAAAATGTGAGAGGATGTCAACTTTCAAATTTATTATGGCAAAATGACATTTTCCTTAGATCTCCCCTATGAAAGCTGGCTTCTGAGCGCTCTGGATGTCAGAAAGACTGATTGGATTGAAGTTTGACAACCCAAATTCACACTAATCGAAAGACTAGAAAGGCTAGCCCTAATTTTCTTTTAAAAAATGCAAAAGTTACTTTATTTTCAAACACATTTGAATAAATTATTTTTTTTTTTCATATTTTTTAAGTAAAATAGGCTTATTTTAAAAGCAAGTCCTACCAAATAATAATAGGGTATTATTTTCATCCTTTTAGCCTTAGCCAAATATGCTCAGGATCAGTTCTTCGATGCATCATGAAATACCACGAAAGAGTCGAACTTTAGGACAATCAAAAAGCTCAGTAACAGAAATCATCTTCACATTATGTTGCGAAATTCTTCCAAAAATCAAGAAAAGAGCTATGGGATACACATATCAATCGTGTTTTCCGGGGCATGACATGATTTCTATCATAAAAATACTAACAGAAATTAACTATCTATATTGTCGTCAAGAGAACTACCACGGAGCGTTTACCTCTTCTTGGAACATGAGTTCGTAGCTCTCCGCTTTTGATTTCAAACTCTCGATTTCAGCATCAAATTTCACAGATGCTTCTTTCAATTCCACGAGCTTCACTTCAAGATCTCTAATCCCGTCTTCAGTTCGAGCTCGTTCAGTTTTAGCCTCCCAGAACTTTTTTGCATCGGCTGCACCTTCAGAATTGAATGCCAACTTTAGCACTCGACTTAGACGTGCCCCTAAAAATCCTACATTCAGCCCCAAAAGTTCAAAAGACCTAATCGACTTTTCCCATACATCAAAATCCTTCCGAGGAGTTGTGAGTTTGCAAGATCTTATAGCATCCGCAGTGTTTACAGCTTCGAAAATCATACCGGCGGCTAACTTACAGTACAGGCCCGGGAGAAGTCCTTCATGAAGAAAAGCATTCTTGCTCCGACACAGCTCGAAGTACTTTCGCCGTACATGTTCGGGAAGTTCCGAGTCGATGCATACCCCATTCACCACAATGTGGAATTCTTCGAAGCTTTTAACGTCTTTAAAATGAATGGACGATCCAGAACACTTTGAACCCTCGAAAACTTCAGAAGCAACCTCGTCACTGTCATTTCCCGACTGTTCCTCAGGCTGCCCAAGTTGCAGCCCCAATTGGCCTGTCTTTTGTTTCTTCTGCACAACTGTCAAAGGTAGAGACTTTGGACGCCTCTTCTTCTTGAGTTTCACATCCGCAGTTCCCTCGGCTTTATTGTTCCATATTATTTCAAAAATTAGGAAAAATGGCAGAAAAGCAGATAATAGACCGAATTGATACCAGAAGCCAACAGAAAATGGAAAGGTGAACAGTCTTCCTTTACCCAAAAGGTGGTCACTAAAATTTCACTTTGTTCGCTAAACTTAAAAACTTTGTTATGATTTGGTCACACCGTCCATATTCGTTAGTTTGACTAACGGAAAAAAGTGGCATGGCAGCCTAGCTGTTCATCAACTAAGCTGGCACGTTTGCTTTTCTATTAGTCAAACTAATAATGACAAAATGATGAAACTGTAAATTTGTCACCAATTTTAAAGTTTAGCGAATCAATTGAAACAAATGAAATACCATGATCAGTTGACTAACCTGCATCACTTTGTTTAGTTTGAGAATCCAATATTAGAAGGCTAAGAGCACCATCTACTTCGGTTAAATCGTTCGCCCTGATTACATACACCTATAGAAGAAATATTACATGTTATATATTGTGATAATGAGTAAAATGAAGAAACAACCAGTAAAGAACACATAATGCTGTGCTAGGAATCACCTTAAATTTGCAAGGTCCGACTAATTGAAAGATCAGAACGTCTCCTTCAAGCAACTTATTTCCAGAAACAAACTTCCTCCATCCTGCACTTAGTCCTGTCTTGTTTGCAATATACTTGACTTCAAATTCTTCACCATTTTCATCCTCAATAGTAACTGTAGCGTCCTTGTTTGGTAAAAATAACTTGCAGAATGGCACGGGAAGGCCCTGCATAGGAATGGTAATCATAACGAAAAGATGAAATGCAAATCTGACACTCCCATGTTGACAACGAGCATCTTTGGCTGAGCTAAAAAAAAAAAAGTAAAGTTACGCTTGAGCAACTTCTTTTCTCCAAATAGATTTGGATAGGTTATTGTTGAAGTACAAAGGGTAGTCTTTTTTTTTTCAAGTAAACTCTTATGTTAATGTTAAAGTAAGTAACTTGTTTATTCCCACTTTGACCAGTAAAAAAAATTGTTACTTTCAAAATATGCTCATTTACTTATGGGTAAATATTTTTTAATCATAATCAGATCCTCCTGAAAAGATCATTACCATCCAAAAACAACTTGCGACGTGTGATCTAACTAGTGTTTTCAGAAAGATAGGGTGTTCATTGCCTAAACTTGATTGAACCTCCTCTGCTCGAATCATAGTCGGCGATTTCACTTGGACTGGAGTCACCGCACTGCTTGACCCATCATTAGTAGCATCTCCATTGCTGTTTCATATGATATAGCTAGTCATTTTCACAATTAAACATGCAAAACTTCTCCAGAAAAAGTTAATTTTCGGCACTGAACTAACCTCGTCAATGTTCCTGCACTATCTCGTTTTGCCTGCTTATGAAATTGTCACATTCAATCGTTAAATATAAATCTCCTTAAGAAGCAGTTTAAAGGCAAGCTCAAAAATCTATACAATGTTGATGTAAATCAAACCATGATCCAGATCATTGGCCAAGCATTGCATAAATGAAGTAAACAAAGAACTATTTCGAAGTTACATCAAATCATGGCAGGAAAGAAGATTAAAATAAAAAAACCCACCTGACGAAAAGGGAGGGATTGGGAGGAGGCACAATAGATTGTATGTCATGACGGGATGCAACTGAACAGGACCTAGTGTGTTCTAGAAATAAATCATGAACTCAGCTTAAGGATGCATGCATATGCAAAACAACGATTGCTTTTGGAATCAATTTTGTTATTTGTCAGGGGAGATATAACAGAAAGATAATCAGAAAATGTTCACTTCAATGTTCATATGGATGAACTAAACTTCATATCATTCACAATTCAGATGTCCAATCTCAGCCAACCAGAAACTTTACAACAATATCACTAGTGATTGACATAATAGGATTTTCATTCAATTTTTATATTTTTCTGGTCTGTAATGCCAATTTTATTTCTAATTTTTGAACTCTAAACAATCATATCTGTGAGTCTTTCCAAATCAACAAATTTTATCTTGAGTTATGTACAAATCTACCCCCACCCTATGGTGCTCGGACTCTTCAGTATAGACAATGTACCTGTGTCGATACGACATAACCTAGGTATGCGTATGGATCATATGTCAGACCTTCAGTTTAGAAATTAGAAGTGGATACAGCAGAGATACGTTAGGGATATCTCCATAGGAGTAAGCACAACTAGCAGGGAAATAAAGAGTGGGAAGATAATTTTTAAAGCAATAAAATTGATTTTGATGCATAAAAGCAAGATTTTGAAAGCATGAAACCAAGCCCATTTAATGTTAACTCTGTACTAATTAAAATTATCAGTATATAATATTCCAAGCTTTTAAGACGTACCAGTGTCTTAATTTTGGATCTTTCGTAGTCGTATTCCCGTATCCTAAAGTTTTAGAAGAAAAAGATGAATCCTACTCGAGTCCGAACAACATAGCCCCCACAGTAAACGAATATTAGCTAATATACAGTCCCAAACCCATTCCATAAACCAGAACAACAATCTGCATTCCAAGTACAAAAAGAAATATGTAGTGAGCTTGAGGCACTCAATGAACCTACCACATCATTCTATGTTAAGCGTAAATTATAAAACTGCATCAGTTCATTCAAAATAATTACTACTAAAGCTGCCTCCAAAGCGAAAAATATGTTAATGAGATGCAAACTAAAAGAAATTTGGTTGTCATTTTCTTTTCCTCAATAAGGTCATTGGTTTCCATTCCATGGAGGCCTGAATGTTGTATGACTCCACCTCTAAACAAGTTTGGTTTTTGTATACGAGAATGCTTAGCAAAAAGGGCGCCTGAAACATAAATAATAATTGTAAAAGGATGAACGAAAGAGGTCATCTGCCACAATATCATGGAGGTCTGGACACGGAACTACTCGACCCCTAAACAAGTTTAATCTATATGCATACAAATGCTTATCAAGGGGGCACTCTAAACATAAATGTTCATTCTATCAGGAAGAAACAAACATGCAGCTAGAGTGAAGCAACAAAGTGCCACGAATTCTTTCTTTCTTAAAGCTAATTAAACCAAAGTCGAAATCCAGATGCAAGAGTTGTCCCAATATAACAAGNGAGAGAGAGAGAGAGAGAGAGAGAGAGAGAGAGAGAGAGAAGCTTACATCTTTCGATTTGGAAGTAGATGGTTTCTTCCTCCGCCTGAGAATAGGCGAAATCTCATCCATTATCTCCTTTGGTTTCCTCGTCCTTTTACCCTTCAGCAATTAAACCAGATCTAGTATCAATTGGACAAATCCATACATAATTAAACAGAACAAGTCTTTTTCAATAAAATTTATAAGCACGCAACTCTGCCAATGTTTTTCAAAAGGAGGGTGATGTGGGTTGACAGCCATAAAAAATTGTCAAATCTTACGACATAAACCCATAAAATTTATAAACATGAACACAAACAAACTTACAGAAACAAGAACAGGGTCAGATGTAGAAATGGGGGAAGGATTCAGAGGGGAAGAATTCTTCTTCATGGACTCCTCCCCTGGCGTAATACCCACATGGGTATGCTCCTCTTCCTCCTCCTTTTTCATCTCTCGATCATCACCTGCACGATTTTCTTGATTTTGATGCACTATTTTTAGCCTCATCTCTTCTAGAAAAAGCCCAGACAGATAAAGGAATAAAAGGGGGCAAAGAACTGATTCAGGGAGAAAATGGAAGAAAAGAAAATCCAAGGGTATTGGAATATCTGAAGACTATAAATAGGAAAATCGGAGACCCCTGCGGGTGCGGGTTGGGGGAAAAGTGCAAACAACAGAAAATGTGGGTGTTTTGTTAGAGTAAAGCCACTCAAACAGGTTTTAGTGATAGGGATTGGAAACCAACACGACGTGGCAAGTTGTGATTGACCTGTTTTGTTTTAAAATTTTCCATCTTCCAATGAACTCTCGCCAAGTGTGTCGGTCAAAATTTCCCTGTCAATATTTCCTGTTTTTCTAGCATATCTCATTTTGTTATGGGTTAACGCTTGCAGATGGGAAAATGTGGCGTGCCATGTTCGAATCATTCGTGGACAGTTCTGCCCAAAAACTCGTAGTGCCTTCAATATCAGCAGATTGGGCCACCATATTTGTAAAAACGCCTCTTTTGGCTGTTTAAGATTTTTAGTTTAATATAGTAATAAAACTGGTTATATTGCCCCCGGGCACATCCGAGTTGGCAAAAGATGGACATTGCTGGACTTGAAACTTTAGGGTGGAGAGTTCAATTTCTGGATGGAACAGTTGAGTGTTGTAATACTTAATTTGGGTGGAGCAGCTTGGTGATGTAATATTCATAAAGGAAGGCTCCCTTGAGGTCAGGAGAATAAAGGGTGCACGAACCCTGGTCAACTTGGGCATATTCCGCGGTTAACCTCCACCCATCACTGAGGGGCCGAGGATTGGTGGTTCAGGACATAGTCTGGTGTAAGTTGGAATACTTGAATATCAAAAAAAAAAAAAAAAGAACTGGTTATATTGTTATATTCAAAATTGATTAAATGACATTAGCCCCAGGTCAAGGCCAATTAACGCTAACTGAAAAAGATGAACATGATAATTAAGGCCAACGGGGTTTCACCAAGCAACGCAATAAGGGCTATATATGAATTTAAGAAAATATTCTTCATGACTTTTATGCCTCTAGCACATCCCTGTAAATAGGAGCCCAATTGATTTAAATTCTTATAGGTCGTTATATAAACTAGATGTTCATTTATCTTTACTTATATATTTTAATTTTTATATATACCAAAAATTACAACAAGACCATAGAACTGCTCACCTCATCGTGAGGCACCCCAGGAGTGAAAGTCGTGAGTTTCGGAATGACTACCGGGAGGAGGCATCGATACATAAGGGTAGGTGGTCAACATCCCACTATCTAGAATCAATCGATACCCTTTTTTTTTTTTTTTTTGGTATTTAAAGCATCATTTGATCCCTACGTCAATCCCGTTAGGTGGTATGTTCACAATTAGCTTGTGAGTAATCAAATTATGTAGGTTATCGTATGGACACTGATAAGTGTGTTTTTGCACACTTATTTAATACTTAAACTAAACTTATTATTGATTAAGCTACCGTTTTGTGCACATTTTGAAGGTAAGAATGCATTTTTACTATTGATATAATGGAGAATATGTGGTTGAAAAAGAATGAAAAGTTATTGATGTAATAGAAAATATTAGTTTATTGAAAAATGTGTGGTTGAAAATGAGTAGAAAAATAAGAATGAAAAAAATAATGTGAACCAAACATGGTCTAAATGAGTAATTGTCTACTCACAATTGTGTAATTTATTATTTTATAGGTAAAAATTATCCCAATGAAAGAAAACAAGGCAAAAAGCGGAAATTGAACTAAAAGTGTGCAAAATTGTGAATTTCTAGACCAAAGTGAACAAGTCAGAAAGTTCAAGGACCTAGGATTGCCATTTTTGAGGGCATGGTTGATATGAATGTCAAAATTTGAGGATCGAATTGTACAAGATCAAAGTTGAGGACCGGCGTGCAATTATCTTGGGCTTGACTACAAAATGGAAACAATTTCTGTCTTTTTTTTTCTAAGACTCAGCACCTAGGCTCCAGATTTTAAAAAATAAATAAATTTCGGTGCCATTTTAATACTTTATCGCAAACCCAGGGACTTGAGCTACAAATTCTGATTTTGCCTAGGTTTTTCAAACAAGAAAATGCAGTAGCTTCCTCCTCTTCTTCTTTTCAATCTCTTCTTTCTCTTTTCATTTTTTTATGGTATTTTGGGGATACAATCTAGAGCACAAGGAGAATACATTTAAGAATTTTGAGAAATATTTGGGACAATCAAGGTCAAGTTTCAAAAAAAATGTTTTATCTATAATTAGGGATGACAAAAAAACCCGACAAACTCGCTACCCACGGGAGTCCCACCCCAAACGGGGCGGGGACAACCCGCTTAATCGGGTAATGGGGCGGGTAATTTTTCTCGTCCCCTGTCCCACCCTGTTAATTTTTTTTTTTAGAATTCAATACTTTAAATGAAAATTTTCATTAGTTCTAATAGAAAATAGCAACTAAAATTATTTGTCTAAATCTAATGAATATGGACAATAAAAATAAATTATCAAAAACTTAAAAAAAATTCTAATGGGGAATAAACGGGCCCCATCCCTCCCCGCCCCGCCCCGCCCCGCCCCGCCTTAAACGGGTAATAGGGCGGGGACGGGGCGGGGAATTTCTTAGCGGGGCGGGGCGTTGCCATCCCTACCTATAACTTTGTATTTTCTCAATTATTTTACCATATTTGTAATTTATTATTATAAATATTCTTCTTTTTATTATTTATATAACATGTGCCAAGTTTATTTAATGAGATTTATGGTTTAAAGTTAACCTAACTTTAATTAATTTTAATATTTACTCTTTAATGTTAAGTTATTTATTTCCATGTGTTTTTACTATTTTGTTTATTGCATTTTCATTAATATGGTCAATGAATGAGTGTGTTTAATGATTCGTATATCGTTCGAGAGAAGATTGTACATTTTAGGCCAAATAGTAAAAACATTAAGTTTGTGTAGGGAATAGAGATATACACTAATCTTAGGTGATTCATTGAGTTATTTTCACAAAGATTTAATGTGGTTATTTGGTTTGAATCGACATAGAGATGTAGTAAATTAAACTAATCAACTTGGGTTAATTTTGCTCGAGGGAGATAATTAACTATTATCGAAAAATCGGGTGTAATATCGTAAATGCGTCATTTGTTAATTAACTTGTTAATAAATTAATTAGGCGATGATTAAGTGAAACCATGAATCTCAACTACGTTTTTCTCCGAAATTTCCAAGTGATGTTATTTTCTTATTTTGTAAAATTTTAGTTATTTTTCAAAATCATAATTTTATTGTATATTCATTTTTGTTATTAGAATTAAATTAATTAAAGTTGTGTAATCGAAAGTAAAAATTTCTTGAATGATCGACAACTCGGATTAAAAAATTTAACTTTATTATTTAAACGCGACCCGTGCACTTGCAATTCGCACTTTTTTAGCGAACAAGTTTTTGGCGCATTTGTCGAGTAATGCTTTTACTTTGATTACAATTTTTTTTTTTACTTGTTTGCTTTTATTTTTGTATATTTGACTAACCCCCATATTTTTAATTATCTTGTGTTGGTATTTTCTCATTGTACTTTTCAGTTATAGTTGCATTATTCCAATCTTGGTAAAGTAACAAAGTTTTTGTAATGTCTAATCTCTACATTAACTATTGATATATATCTAGAGGTCTAACATGTGAAATTTGTCAATCGACATATTGTACAGGATAATATTTGTATTCGTGCACCAATGCCTAAATGTTAAATTTTCTTTGGTTTAGACAATATTTGAAATATTGAAAACAAGCATTGGACAATTTTGATGATAGCTACATGCTCACGGGAGATTATGTACCTGACGATTGGGACGAGGACATCAAATTTTTGGGAGATGGTCCTCTATTTTTGAACGAGAAGGTACTTGCAAAGTATTAGAATGAACTTGCGAAGTTGGATGAAGAAGACATGTTTGTAGGAGATTACAAATATTGTGATGGATTTAAAAAGTGGTGGTATAATCCATTTGACGGTGTTAATAAGAAAGACTTGACATTGCCCATGGAGTTCGATGGTGGATCACTCATTCAATCTGATGAGACATCAACTACTGACGAAGAGCTCAAAGAGAATGACATATCAATAACAAATGAACCGAGCGAAAATGTAGCAAACAATGATGATGAAAGTAATGTATATTCTTCTGAATTCATTGATTGCCCGAAAATTGAGTTTGTGATTAAGTGTGATGATGTGGTAGAAGTCTATGTAGTTGAAGTAAAATTGGATGGTATTATATAGAAAGGAGCAATGTTTAATTTTGAAGATCCGGTGAAGAGTGAAACAAAGCCAAACGAAGGAAAATGGGTAAGACATCCAAAGCCTTCTTTAGATGCTCATGAGTCAATTGCCAAAGTCGAACTAAATATTATAAAAAAAAACGCTTGTTGGGAGACGACCCAACTTTCTAACCCTTAATCTTTTTAGTTTTTGTTTGTCATTAGATAATAGTTTTTGTCTTAAAATAACTTTTTGAAGTCCTATATTTATCATGGTTCTCAACATGTTGAAGGTTTCATTTTAACTATGTTAGTCTTATTTACCAACTTCGAATTTAACCCGTTTTAATTTACTCTTTTCTTGTGATTTTGTAGGACACTACAAGTTCTTCCATGAGATGCTTGTTGAAGGAATTGATTTGAAATCAAGTCGAGGCTTGAGCACAAGTTTGGGGTGAAATAAAAAATTAACTATTCAAGAGCACTGCTAGTCTAAATCAAGCATTGCTACCCTTCACAAATGTCCAACTTAGGAAATCTCGTTAACCACCCTCTTACCTTTTATTTTGTTCTTTTTCACATTGAGGAGAATGTGGGATTTAAGTTTGGAGTGATTTTGCTTAAATTTTTATGATTTTGTGTTGACATGTTAGATAGTCTTGTAAGCTTAGGATGGTTTGATATTTAAAATTGTTGTTGATTCATGAGCCATGACCAAATACGTTATTTGAGCCTAAATTTTTCA